TCCAGGAAGCACCGCTGAGGAACAGCCCCAGCCCCCCCAACAGCACCGGGGGCACCATCGACAGCGATAGCTGGGACCCCCGGTTCAACGATGTCCCCTCGGCCGTGCCCCCCCCAGCCAAGAACAGGAAGAACTTCAGTCAGCTCAAACGAGCGAAACCCTACGGTTCCCTCTTCCAACGGGCTAAACCCAGCGGGTTCCTGCCGGAGAGAAAGCAGCTGGACAAGATCAGGAAGAAGAAAAAGCTGAAGAGGAGGGAAACAGAGGTGTCGGCCGAGGAGGACTACGAGGAGAAGCTGCTGGAGCTGGAGGGGGAGGACTCTTACGTGGAGACGCCCATGAGCCCCTCGTCCGAGGGCGACCCTCCGTCGGCGGCCGAGCAGAGCTCGGTGTGGGACTCTGACACCCCCTCCAGCGTCTCCTACCCCCCCGGGGCGGCCGAGCAGACGGTGGAGATCCAGAGCGTGGGCAAGAGAACGGTGATTCGGCAGGGCAAGCAGGTGGTCTTCCGGGATGAGGACGGGACCGGCGACGACGAGGACATCATGGTGGATTCGGGTAGGTGCCTGGCTCTCATCCCTCCCTTTGGGGCTTGTGGCGTGAGGGTAAAATGGGAAAACGTGCTGCCCAAAGAGGGGGTTGGGTTTTGGGGGGAAAGGAGAGGTTGATTTACTGCTTTTGTGATAAACTGAGTGAAAAGCTGTGGGTTTAAAGAAGGAGCTGGTTCTGCTCTCCTGGGTTACAACCCTCTTGTGTCCTGCCAAGAGTCTCCTGTGCAGGAGACCTAGTTTCCCTTCAGGTGTGGAAGAAGCAGCAAAGTGCCTGGCTTTGGCACTGGGGGACTTGAATTTAGCACAAAAGTGGAGTAAATTCCTGCTGCAGGTGAGAGGGGTTGGCCGTTAAACGCCGCTGGTTGTTCGCCTTTGCAGATGACGACTCCTGGGACCTGGTCACCTGCTTCTGCATGAAGCCTTTCGCCGGGCGGCCCATGATCGAGTGCAACGAGTGTCACACCTGGATCCACCTCTCCTGTGCCAAGATCCGTAAATCCAACGTCCCAGAGGTCTACATCTGCCAGAAGTGCCGGGACTCCAAGTTTGACATTCGCCGTTCCAACCGTTCCCGGACGGGCTCGCGCAGGCGTTTTCTGGACTAAGGGAGGGAATTGGGGAGCTGGGGGTGCTGCGTGGGGCGGGGGGAACCCCAAGACCCCAGCCTGGGGGGGCTGGGGGGGGGGAGCTCCCCGAACTGCTGCTGCTGGGGCCGGAGGGCTGCCCGCTCACCGGAACCGGGAATCGCCGAGTGGCGTCAACCGGAGCTGGAAGAAGCCGAGGGGTGAGAACTGCTGCTGGAGCCCCCTCGGATGGAGGGAAGGAGGGAGGAACTGGGCCCACTGGGCTGGGCAAGGGGGTCTTGGCCGGTCGTAGCCGTGAGCGGGGTGATGTCTGGGGGATGGAGGATACCTTTGCCACGAACGTTTTCTCATCCCACCTTTCTCATCCCAACTGCGAACCCTCTCTGTGCGAGGAGACTCCTCCTCCTCCTCCAGAGAAGGGAGGAGGAGGGGGGGGAAATCTGTGTGAAGAGTCTGAAAAGTAAATGGCCACGTGTTTTAATTTTCATGTAATATTATACCCGCCCATTTGTCCGTATGTATCAGTCCTGGACTCTTCTGAGGCTCCGGAGGAGGAGTCGGTGTCGGTTCGTACCGCGCTCTTGCAAAGGGGAGCCCTGGGGTTTGGCATCGCTCGCGTGGAAACGGGACTCACCCTGCACCTTTACAGGAGGGAGCAGCCCTTTTTCCAGAGAGGCAGCGCTGGGGACCCCATTTCTTTCCAGAAGGTCTCTTTTTCGTGACTTTGTTTTGCATGATTGGCTCAAACGTGTGTCTGGGGGGAAGCTGTTTGCTCCATTTCCCAGCCCTTCCTTAAACTCTTAAGGTGCTGATTTAAGAAGACGGTGATTCTGCCTTTTCTCAGCCCAGAATTCGAGCGTGGGCTGTAAAAGGGGCCAGAGTGAACTGGGAACCCGGCAGGTCTGGTTTGGGATTTGGTCATTTCCATCTGAGTGCTACGGCCAAGTTGGCTTTTGTTTTCCCTGTTTATTTTTTGAGAATGGATTTGTAACCAAAAAAACCCCCAAATCTTTAACCTATTGGTTGCAAGTTACCCAGACAGAAGCACATGCAGGCGATGCCGGGAGCAGGATGACGTGCAATGAAGACCCTTCAGACATGGGAGGGGGGACAGGAGGGCGCTGAGGTCCCCGCCGACACTGTGGTCCCTCCATGGGGCTTCCTGGGGCCTCAGCCCGAGGGAAATCCGTTGGGAAACGGGACAGGGAGAGACTCTGGAGTTCCACCTGATGAAGGAGCACCGTGTCCAGTGGGATGTGAGGGGACTGCCCTTATCCTGGTACCAGCTCATCAGAAGACACATCCATCCTGGTGGTGACCACGGGGCTTCCCATGGAGCCAGGGACCCTCCTTGGGGTAGACACCATGGGGTTGTCAAACCTCCAGCCCGGGGAGATGTGGGGGAGCCAGAGCTCTGCCCACTCGGGTGAGGATGATGGAGCTGCACCACGAGTGATGGTTCTTCTCTCCTGCTGCTTTATCCAAACCCCGTCCCACCGACCTGCAACAACCGGCTCCGGGTTCCCAAAAAACCAGCTCCAGGTTCTGTAAAGCCCGAAAACCGTGACGTGCTGCCTCCCAGGAGCTTCGTGGAACCACCGAGGAGTTTGCCAAAGACTTGCCCCCCGACGGCTGCCTGACTGTTCTCTGCAGCCAGAAAAATAACCAAAGTTCTCCAATGCTGCCATTTCACTCTGCAAAAAGGGAAAGGCTTTGGAAGATCCCGGTCGCGAGCTGCGCCAGGGCTGGACCTGCTCTGAAAATCTGTCTCTCTGTGTTTACGGCGTGTCTGCAACTCCCCTGGCCTCCGTGGATTGTGTTCCTCCAGCTTTTTTTGGTGGAAACGGTGAATTCCACGTGAACTGGCTCCTTTTCACACTCATCGGTGTGACTGACTCTTGTTCTGTTCCCTTTATCCCGATAGATGGGCTCTGACAAGTCCAGCACGTCACGATATCAGCAGAGAGAGAAGAAAAAAAAAGTAACATCTCCATTCTTTTAGTTCGTCACTTCCAGCCATGTATAATTATAGTTTAATTCAGAACTTTATTTTTTCATTAAAACTGTTTTAATGAAACAGGGTTTTTTTTTTTTTTTCTTAAATGTGAACCAAGTGAACAAGGATTTTGTTTTATTCCCAACTCAGGAGTCTGCTGTTCTGATTTACTGGGGTGTGAAGCAGTTTGTGCAGGTGGTGGAGAGAATTCATGCTTCAGGTGCTCTTCCCCTGGGGATGCGGGGAGGCAGGAGGGATGGGGAGCACTCAAACACCTCGTGCTGTGGGGATCCCCCCCTCTCTCTGGAGCGGTTCCTCCTCACCCACCCTCTGCCATCAGCAATTTTTGGTGGGTCCCATCACTGGCACAGGGTGGGGGCGATGGGGGCAGGCACTACCAGTGGCTCCAGGAGCCCAGAGTGGGCAAACTGGGCTCGTTGATGGACCTGCTGAGTGGTGCAAGCCCCGGTGAGGGCTGGGGTCAGGATGCTGGTGGGGGAGAAGAGAGGAGAGGCTGAAAGCCAGGCTCAGTGCGTAGGAGCCAGGCGTGGGACAGGGCACATCACGCCAGGAGAGACTGGCCAAGGTGGCCCCATGCCCATCCTACTTGCCCAAGAGCCTGGTCCCTGCAGGACCGGGCACCGCAGCCTCAGAAATGGAGTGAAATGGACACAGCACCTTGGGCTGGGCTGTGTCTGCCCGGCAAAGATGGGCCTCAGACCCCCCAAAAAACTCATTTAAACCCTCTGGGAGCTGCACAGAAGGAGAGCTCCTTCCCTCCCACCCCTTCCCCATGGTGGGGACCCCAAACCAGTAAAGGGTCACTGGTGCCACCACCCCAAACCAAAGGTGCTGGGTTCAAAGCAGCAGCCTTGGACACCTCAGCAAATTTAAAAGATGGGTTGTGTCTTTGGAGGTAGCACTGGACCGTATCAGAAGCAAAGCTGCTGCTGCTCCAGCTTCTGTGTTAATTCTGTGTGTAATTTTATATTATACAGAGCCATCAGCAGAAGCCCCGGGGAGCTGTCGCTGTAAAATGGCAGCTTCTCACAGAGCAGAAATGGTGGAGGTGAAAGTGGTGGGTTTTTTAAACGGAGCTGCTCTGAGAGTCTCTGTAAAACTGCACTGATGGGAAATAAGGAGAGGAGAAGCTGGAGTTGGTGTCCAGCAGGAGAGACCGACCCAAGCCCTGGCTGCGAGGGAAGGGACGGGGCAGGAAGCGAACTCACTGAATTTCACTGAATTTTAGAGTTGGAAGGGACCATAGAGACCATCCAGTCCAACCCCCCTGCTGAAGCAGGATTGCCCAGAGCTTGTCAGAGCATGTTACTCAGGAGCATCCAGGTGGGGCTTGAAGATCTCCAGAGAAGGGGACTCCACACCCTCCCTGGGCAGCCTGTTCCAGGGCTCTGCCACCCTCACCGTGAAGAAGTTTCTCCTCATATTTGAGTGGAACCTCTTATGTTCCAACTTGTGCCCGTTGCCCCTCGTCCTCTCACTGGGAACCACTGAAAAGAGTCTGGCTCCCTCCTCCTTCAACCCTCCCTTGAGATACTTGTCAGCATTGATAAGGTCTCCCCTCAGCCTTCTCTTCTCCAGACTAAAGAGTCCCAGCTCTCTCAGCCTTTCTTCATCAGGGAGATGCTCCAATCCTTGCATCATCTTTGTTGCCCTTCACTGGACTCTCTCCAGCAGTTCCCTGTCCCTCTTGAACTGGGGAGCCCAGAACTGGACACAGGATTCCAGTTGTGGCCTCCCCAGTGCAGAGCAGAGGGGGAGGATGACTTCCCTTGACCTGCTGGCCACACTCTTCCCTATGCAGCCCAGGATTCCATTGGCCTTCCTCCACCGTGTGGACACAACTCGGAGAAGAACAAACACGGTGGGGACGCAAAAATGGATCTGGAGCATTGGCTGCTGCAGAGAAGAACCTGCTGCCGCGGCTGCACGGCTGAGAAGGGCACTCGAGAGGAGGAGAAAAGGGAGAGGTTGAGCCCCGGGTGGGCTGAGCTGGCAGGGAAAAACAAACTTTAAACTTTTTACGATGCTCAGCCAGGGAACGGGACAAGGGTCGTGTCCTTTCGTCGTGAGGGGTTTTGCTTTAAGGAGAGTCACAAATTCCAATGTTTGAAGTTAAGGTTCATCTGCCCCTTGCACAAACTCCTCTGCCCTTGGAGAGAAGGAAGGAGGAGAACTCCTGCCAGTCCTGGAGGAGAACAGGGTTGTGATGGCAGAAAGCTAGACTGGAGATTAGGAGAGGGTTCTTCACTGTGAGGGTGGTGGAGCACTGGAACAGGTTGCTCAGGGAGGTGGTTGAGGCCCCTTCCCTGGAGATATTCAAGGAGAGGCTCGACGAGGCCCTGGGCAACCTGGTCTAGTTGGGGGTGTCCCTGCTGACTGCGGGGGGGTCGGACTAGATGGCCTTTGGAGGTCCCTTCTGGCCTGGGCAATTCTATGATTCTATGAAAGCACCTGCCTGATGCCACCAGCCACCAGCCGAGCCCTCCCTGGGCATGAACCCACCATCTGATACACGTGGGATGGGGTTTGGGTGGTTCCTACAGCAGAACCAGTGCCAGAGCTCTGGCTACAGCCTGTCACTGGCTGGGCCACCCCAGGATGTGGCTGTCACAGCCAAGAGCAGGCACAGGAGGGCAAGGGAAGACTCTAGAAAGTAAATCCTAAACCTGTATCTCCTCCACCTCGAGAATTTCCAGTTTAAAGGCTCTGGCTGAAAAGAGGACTGTGTGTTGGCCTCAAGTTACACCAGGGGAGGTTCAGGCTGGATATTAGGAAAAATTTCTTCACTGAAAGGGTTCTCAGCCATTGGAATGGGCTGCCCAGGGAGGTGGTTGAGGCCCCATCCCTGGAGGTGTTCAAAAGAGGGGTTGATGTAGTGCTGGGAGGTATGGTTTAGTGATGATGCTCCTTGTTTGTTGTGCAGGTGTCTATTTTTGTCAGTCAGGTTGACGGTTGGACAAGATGATCTTTAAGGTCCCTTCCAACCTAGAAGATTCTGTGATTCTGTGTTCCCAGATCCTTATTGGGGTGTTTTAGGCATTTGCTGGGTCAGAGACGGACGCGTCACCTCCTGTTTCTGTGGCATTTTTAAGGTTTGCACCCAAAGATGCTGCACCGTCATGGGTTTTAGCTGCTGGAGCAGGACCAAGGCTCTGGGCTCTCAGAAGGGCTGCTGTTCGAGTGCAGCGAAACCTGGGCATCTCCTGAAGCACTGAAGCAGTTTTTAGAATCACGTCGTTATTTCTCTACACTTTAATGGACACAATATGCAAGAAAACACTTTCACAGCAGCAGAAACTGTCTCAGGAAGCTGTCGGAAACGAGGAGAATTGGTTTATTGTGCAAACTTCTGTTCATGAAATCCCTCCTCGGGGTCGCTGCTCTGCTGCTCCTCTTGGCCATCACCAGTTAATGTGGTGTTGCCGTTTTGCAACTTGTTGATGCACAACTTGATTCTTCTTGGAGTGTTCTCCCACATCCTGGTCACTGCAGACTCTTGGCCACACGCTTCATGCAGGGACACAACGGGGAAAAGGAATTTCTGGTGGGGGTTTCTGCCCCCTCCAACTCGTTACAGATGAAGAACCCAAAGAGGCCGATGAGCAGGAGGTGACAGAGGGAGCAGTTACACCTACAGAACCTGCAACCCTTGCTTTTCGGGAGGTGCCAAGGGAACAGGGGCTACTTTTCAGCCGAATATAATTTATTGCACGTTTTACATTTCATTTCAGATCAACAGAACACTGCTCATCAGTGGAATAAAACCCTGCATCAGGAGCTGGTCACAAACGAAGAGTTTTGGTGTGTTTTTAATAAAAGCAGGCAAACACCCCGTCACCGTAGGCTTCATGCAGGGACACAACAGGGAAAAGTAACTTCTGGTGGGGGTTTCTGCCCCCTTTTAACTCATTACAGATGAAGAACCCAAAGAGGCCGATGAGCAGGAGGTGACAGAGGGAGCAGTTACACCTACAGAACCTGCAACCCTTGCTTTTCGGGAGGTGCCAAGGGAACAGGGGCTACTTTTCAGCCGAATATAATTTATTGCACGTTTTACATTTCATTTCAGATCAACAGAACACTGGTCATCAGTGGAATAAAACCCTGCACCGGGAGCTGGTCACAAACGAAGAGTTTTGGTGTGTTTTTAATAAAAGCAGGCAAACACCCCGTCACCGTACCGACTTCTTTTTAGAGCAGGGGCATCTCTTTTCAGACTGGCTCAAACGAGTCTGTTCTCAGGACTCTAATTCTCCTGTCACAGTGATGGAGCAGAAGGAACCCCCTTCATGCAGCAGATGGGGCCAGGTTGGTGTCAGGGAATGGTTGGTGGCAGTTGTTGTGTAGAACAACCACCCACCACCCAGGGATGGGGGTCTTTACCCCCCATCTCTGAGCAGTGAGGGCTGTTGTGGGGCTCGCTGGGAGTGGGACCGAGCAGTAGCCCCCCCTGCTCCTTTCCCTGGGACACACCTGGGACCTGCTGCCCCACACAAGGACAGAACTGTCCCTCCTGCTGCGAAATCACTGCAAGAGTGACCCAACGGACTTCTATCCAAACTGGTTGCTTTTCAGAAAGGGCAGCCAAATTGTATGTTTTCAGCTCTTTACCCACTGGCATCTCTCCTCGCTCTGGCCTGCTCTACCTGGATAAACTACCTTCCTCTTTCTCCTAGAAATAAATGAGATGGGAAGAGACAGTTGCAGCATGAGAACCAAACGAATCAGATTGCTGTCCTTCTTCCCCATCTGCTTTCCTCTTTCCTTGAAAACTGTGACAGTAGGTGGTTCTGGGTGGCAGGAGAATTAATGAGACTACGACACCCCCGTGTCCTTGTCTGGAACAGCAGTGTCTGAAATGAGCAGCTGGATGGATTCATGCTGAAGAGGTCCATGATACTATGAAAGGCAAAGAACTTCGTTCCAAACATACTTGTTCTTAACAAGTACATTTCAAATACAGATTGGAGGTGGAAAACAATCTCTGTCCTCTTTCCAACAAAAGGGATTTACACAGAGGCCTTTCCAGGAGGCGGCCAGAGAACGGAACTTCTCCTCAGGAGCAGAAAAAGGAAGGTTCCCTGCCCCAGGAAGAGAACAACAGGTCTTCTTCCCTGCTCAGCACGAGAAGATACAGGTGAGAGTGTACGAAGGGACCAAACGGCAGCAGCAGGGACTCGCACAACCTCAGCAGAGAGCACTGCGCGTTCAGAGTCACGTTGCTTTATTGGTTACCGAGCCACAATTCAGAGAAGTATTGCCTTGGAGCCACCTGGAGAAGCAGGTTCTCTCCTTTTTTTGTCTCCTAACACAACCGGCAGGACACCGCCGCCCGCTAGAGAATAGTAAAAATAAAAGTGTGTGTCTCTGTTCAAAAGCTGTAGGGTCCAGGGGGGGAGGTTCTGCAGATCCCGTTGGCCCAGGTGCCGTTCCGGAGGTGCCCGCTCTCCCGTTAACCGTCCGCATCGATCCTGTGAGCTGTGGGCAACAACAACACAGGGACACGTGCCACTCCTGTCGCACAGAACACGTCACACCTTCAACCTAACCCCCCTACCAGGGGCTGCTCATTACACACCATTCATATCCACCTCCAAGGTATTAATATGGAAGCTTTATGAGTTGGAGGTGCTGCTGAAATACGCGTATCGTGGCCAATCCTTTTCAGTACCCCCAGTTCTGAACCCCCAAACCCTTTTACTGGTTCCTAAGGGAAGGAGCAGAGCAATCCCTGCTACTTACATTGCTTTGGTATCCTAAGGGCCTCGTTGTCAGCTGACATCACCTGGTGCAGGACTCCTCGGAACTGATAAAGCACTTTCAAACTCTTCTCCTCACCCACGCAGGGGTCATAGAAACCCGGCAGCCCTGCCTTGAACCAGAGGAGGACAGAATGAGCATCAGGGAACGGGCTTTCACAGCTCTTCAACTGACCCAAAACATTTATTAGGGCCAGAATGAGGTGTCATTAAAAAAAAAAAAAAGGAGTTTTGCTGCCAATGAGATGAGAAGTTAAGGAATAGCCTCTCCAGTAGCATGTTCAAAATGCAGAAAAGAGCAAATCGGGGGTGGGAAGTTTTGGGTACAGCCCCAGAGTCTGTAACACACACTGTTGCATGCTGCAAACACACAGACACTGTTTCTTTGGCACTGGAGATGCCCAGAGAAACAGAGGTTCCTGGAGGTTGGTAACACTTGGTGTGTAAATGGTTTTGTCAATTGATCTGGAGTCACCAGAGAAACCCCCACAGGACAGTTCAGTCGAGATTCTGCATCACCCACGTGAGCTCTGGAGCCTGGTGGTGACAGAACAACCCCGTACCTTGGATGCCTCTGTGAGGATGAGTTTAGAGTCTTTCACCAAGCACTGCAGGGGCACAGTCACATCTATTACTTTCACCTTCTCGTTCTTCCTGCTGTTGTCATTGACAAACTTCCCGTACCAGGCGTTCACTACGATCAAACCTGCATTTCACAGGAAATCACAGATGTGATGAAAGGCTTCCCACTGCCAGCGGGGCAGACGTTGAGGAAAAGACCACCCCCACATTTTCTGACCCAGGAACAAATGGTGGAAGCTAGAGCCCAGCCAAACCTGACCTGCAGACTCCAGCTTTTGCACAGATTTATCACACACCTCTCTTTTGCGAAGAGGCAAAGCCAGACTATTGACTTCAGCCTGTTGATGCACCTCCCAGCTTGTCCCAAAATAACATTCAGGTGGTCCCTACTAAGCTCAGGCACCAGAAGCTGAATCATAATGGAACCTCCCCACCACGGGCACGACAGCAATTACACTGTGCTTCGTTAGGGGTGGAAATGAAGAAATTTCACTGAATTTTTAGAGTTGGAAGGGACCATAGAGACCATCCAGTCCATCTCCCCTGCTAAAGCAGGACCACCCAGAGCTTGTCAGAGCATGTTACTCAGGAGCATCCAGGTGGGGCTTGAAAGTCCCCCAAAGAAGGGGACTCCACACCCTCCCTGGGCAGCCTGTTCCAGGGCTCTGCCACCCTCACCCCAAAGAAGTTTTTCCTCATATTTGAGTGGAAATGATACCTGCATTTCTCCCCATCAGCCCCCCAGCCTTTGCACTGTTCCTTCCTCTCTCCAAATTTAGGGAGCAAGTAAATGGTGTTGTAAATCTTTACCCATTCTGGCTTCCTCCGCTTCAATTATCCTCCGGACGGACTCCTGCATTAACCGGACCTGTCACGACACCAGGGGCAGAGCAAAAATCAAGCAGTGTCAGAACATGGTGTCCAAAAGAGAAAAGCCCCACGTGAAAACAGCTTCTTTTAGCCAAAGGGGGGATTAGTTACGGGAGAGACTCACCGCAGCTTCAGCTTCCTGCTTCTTCTGCAGGATGTCGCTGGCCGTGTTCTCCCTCTGCTTCTCCAGCTCCCTGCACACGGGGTGAACATCACGTCAGGGCCACACGGTGATGGGACTCAGATCTCTGCTTACCCACCCCAATTAACCTGACCCACCACCTCACACAAACCAGCTTGGTTTTATGGTCCTTCCCCACATTTCCTCATGTGTCCAGTTTTGGGCTCCCTACCATAAAAAAGATATTGAGGTGCTAGTGTGGGTCCAGAGACGGGCTTATGAGGGGTCTGGAGCACAAGTCTGATGAGGAGAGGCTGAGGGAGCTGGGGTTATTCAGCCTGGAGAAGAGGAGGCTGAGGGGAGACCTCATTGCTCTCTCCAACTCCCTGAAAGGAGGGTGTAGAGCGGTGGGGGTCGGTCTCTTCTCCCAAGTCACAGGCGACAGGACGAGAGGAAATGGCCTCAAGTTACACCAGGGGAGGTTCAGGCTGGATATTGGGAAAAATTTTTTCATTGAAAGGGTTCTCAGCCATTGGAATGGGCTGCCCAGGGAGGTGGTTGAGGCCCCATCCCTGGAGGTGTTCAAAAGAGGGGTTGATGTAGTGCTGGGAGATAGGGTTTAGTGATGGTGATGCTTTTTGTTTGTTGTGTGGGTGTTTATTTTTGTCAAAATTAGGTTGACGGTTGGACAGGATGATCTTTAAGGCCCCTTCCAACCTAGAAGATTCAGTGATTCTGTGATTTCAAACCATTTTGGGAGGCTTCCAGAACTCAGGAGCACTGACGGCAGCGTGACCACAGAGATCCCAGCCTCTGCACCAGGCTCCCAGAGCCACCCACGTGGGACCTCCCAGCTCTGGATTTAAAACAGCCTCGGGAGCTCACCTCTCCTTCTGTGCCCTGAGGTAGGGTCTGATGATGAGCCTGTGCATGGCAAAGTAGATAACTAGAGGTCCCACGGTGGCGTAGAAGACAGCACTGGGGAGCAGCTGGTCTGTTAGGTGGACAGGGAAGAAGTAGGTCTGGCTTGCCCTATTCAGCCTGGAACAAAAAAAGATCAGAGGGTCAGGTGAGAGGAAACGCAGAGTTTAACGCACTTGATTTAAGTCCACTTAACAGCAGTGTCTGCTGCTGAACAACTGCTGAGCCAAAGGAGAGATGAAAAGGGGGAAAATCTGATAAAGTGAAGCAAGACAATGGTAAGACAGAGCTGACACCACTCACAGCCAGACGTTTATGTAGCAGAGTTCTCTTGTGACAGCTCCTGACCATGCTAAAGTGGCTTAATCTTAGAAGAATGTGTTTGGTCATTCATTTAACCAGGGAAAGGGACCAACACCATCACAAAGAGAAAATAAAATGCTTCTAGAGAAGGTCTATGTTCACAAGACCGGCAAGTGCCTTCAAGGAAGGAGGACATTCATATTTTTCTGAGTCTTATAAAAGTATTTATTTTAGAAAACATTAGTTTTCTTGGGGAAGCGGCCTCTGGCGCGCCCTCTGCTGGCATCAATTAAAAATGCACATCAGTAAATGTACCTTAAACAGTAGAATTACCTGTATTACTTAATGATAATTCACTAATTCGAGTATATTCTTGTGTGCAGTGTTCTAAAAACGGAATGCAATTAAATATACTATTACTACTATTTTTGGAAATCTTGCATCCACTTACCACAATGCTCCAAACCATGCTTTAAGCTGTATTTTCAGAGCATTTTGAGGCACACCTCAACTAGTCCTGTGAGGGGCAGCTGAGGCTCAGTGACCCCAGGAGAAGGCACACACCACTGCCCACGGGCACCCTTTGTGCTAGAGAGGGGGCAGCTGCAATACACAGCGACGCACCGCTAGACCCTGAGACTGGGGCCTTCCCACCTGAACATCGGAAACGCGACAACAACGCGGGTTTATGGTCAGCCTCTGCAAACAGAGCTGTAATCTTGGACTGACTTGATTTTCAAAGACACTCCTTGGGGGACACCAACGCTGACGGTGGCTCCTAAAATGCTGTGTCTGGAAATCTTCCTCTCTGCTCCGTACTCCACTATGGTCCCGAAGAAACCTGCCCTGGAACGAATGAACCGAACACCGGTAAGACAGGGAAGAGTCCTGAATTCCTCTCTACTGAATCCTGTAATTCCCCAACAAATAAAACATGCAAACACGTGTGTGTGCAGCAAATGTTGGCTACTGGAAGATTCACTGTGTATCTACAAGATGAGATTAACCTTTTCATCTTGTAAAATACTAAACAGGCTACAAGAACTTCCCATTTTCTTATTAGTGATGATATAAACTATCACCCAGGTATTTTAAGTCCCACTTATCCAAAGAGGCACAGAGAGCTAAGCCTCCATGACATTCATTTCAGTGGTTACTACACTTAATTAAGGAAGAGCAGATTCCCAAAGACCCCAGCAGCTTTTGAGTTGTGTGGAACCTGGAGGCCCATGGCAGCAGATGAGAGGTTCTTCTGGCCGTGAGCACCGTGAATTTCCTCTTGCACACTTACTTGAGAGAACCTTTCACTCGCGTTTGATCCTCGTCCTGAAACTTATGCTGATAACTGACCATCATGAAAGAATGGGGGATTCCCAGCTGAAATACAAGAGGCACACATAGAATCATCTAGGTTGGAAGAGACCCTTGGGATCATCGAGTCCAACCATCTCCCCTACTCTACAAAGTCCTCCCCTACACCATATCCCTCAGCACTGCATCTAAACGGCCCTTAAACACAGCCAGGGATGGGGCCTCCACCCCCTCCCTGGGCAGCCTGTTCCAATGCCCGACCACTCTTTCGGTGAAAAATTCCTTCCTAATGTTCAATCTAAACCTCCCCTGTTGGAGCTTGAAGCCATTCCCTCTCGTTCTGTCACTAATTACCTGGGAGAAGAGACCAGCACCAACCTCTCTACAGTGTCCTTTCACATAGTTGTAGAGAGTGATGAGGTCTCCCCTCAGCCTCCTCTTCCCCAAACTAAACTCTCCCAGCTCTTTCAATCACCCTTCATAAGATTTTATTCTCCAGCCCCCTCACCAGTTTCGTTGCCCTCCTCTGCACTCGCTCCAGCACCTCCAGATCTCTCTTGGATTGAGGTGCCCAAAACTGGACACAACACTCGAGGTGTGGCCTCCCCAGTGCTGAGTCCAGGGGCACAATCACCTCCCTACTTCTGCTGGTCACATGTATGAAGACCCTCGGCCACCATTGAATGTTCCCCCAGATTTCCTGTCCTATCCTTTAAGTGGCACAGGAAACAGCAACACTTGCCTCTTGACCCATACAGCCCGCAATCTCTGCAGTCTGTGACTATGAAGACCCTCGGCCACCACTGAATGTTCTCCCAGATTTCCTGTCTTATCCTTTAAGTGCACAGGAAACAGCAACACTTGCCACTTGACTCATACAGCCCGCAATCTCTGCAGTCTGTGACCCTCATCTGACCCACATCAGACATCACAGCGTTGGGTGCAAAGCGTTGTGCTCTCCAGACACAGCTGGTTACCCACGTTAGGTGTCTGACCGAGCGTTATTCCCTAGCCCCAAGCCAAAATACTGCTTGGGACAGAAAAGCTGAGAGACTTCCCACCCATGGAATGGTACCAGCATCTCCTGTGTGCAGAGACAGGACTCTCACCTGTAAAGCCACGGTGAAATGGCTGGTTTTTGTATCCCGGACGATACTGGTGTTCATGGCTGACTGGATGCCCCACCTCCACTGCAAGTAGCCCATGGTGTTCTTGTCGAGGTTGCGGGCGAGGACCGTGGTGAGGCCGGGGCGGATGCCGCGGGACGAAAACTGCAGGGCACAGTTTGTAGTGATGAAACTGGGAGAAAGAAGGAAATCCTCATCAGAGATAAAACATGGGCTCCCAGGTGGCCTCCGACTCCTTCCTGCCCTGGAGCCGTGCTCAATACACAAGAGACTTCCCTGCAAAGATCATGATGTCTGAGGGTCTGACTGCAGTGCTGTCCAAAAGAGCAGGAGCCATGCTCAACACACAGAGACTTTCCTGCAAAGATCATGATGTCTGAGGGTCTGACTGCAGTGCTGTCCAAAAGAGCAGGCTCATGCCCAGTTTATTGGTGTTGGTGCCACAACGCTGCAGCCAACACAGCTGCCCCTCAGCCTTCACCCTTCCTGCCCACGGCAGAGAGCCTGGTCTGCTGGAGAGGCAGAACGCTGCTAGAAGACAGCAGCCCTGCTATTTAATAATCCTCAAGCATCAACTCCAAAAACCAGCATTAAAGAACTCTACAGGGAACGACATCCCAGAATGAGCTCTGAGGAATGGCATATTTACCAAGTTGGAAGATATGAAAGGAAAGATGTGTACACTGGACCCTACGATGCTCTGACATATGTCTCCAGTCACAACCCGAGACCTCTGCTCATTTGTAAACAGACAGCACGCCAGCAGCAAATTTGGCATTACTTCCCTAAAATATGACATATCATCTCCTCTTTTGCTGTCAGAGACTCCCTCTCACACATGGAAGTCCCAGAAGAGTCACAGATGCTGAGACTGAAACACCAGGGAGCTTTATTTACGTGTTATGATTCACAATGATCAGACAGCACAGCCTTTTGAGTTTTCCCTCATCACTAGTTTTGCAGAAAACCACTCCTGTCATTCAGAACTGTACGGGATTCTCTAAACCATTATGTATTCTATCTAATTATTTCGTTAATTCATTTTATTTAATATGAATTCAAGCCGTTTGGTTCCTTAGGGCAGAATATTAACCATTAGACCATTTTTCTAATATTTACCATCTTGGTGTAAGATTACGGAATATCTTCAGACCGAAGAGAGGCCCCTGAAGGTCTCCTGCTCCAAACTCCAGCTGTTTAAATGCACAACACCAAACTGTCAGAAGCAAGCAGTGACAAAGCCCTTCACAAGCATCATTTACTTCACAGACGTGTCACTCATGAGTAACATTTGCCACGCATTTCAGCACCCTCCCTGTTCTGCTGCCTTTGTGTTAGAGCAGGAGGTGTCTCACCAAGCAGAGTCCTCACAAAACCAAGCCTGGGTCACAGTGCCACGGGCTGTTTATTGCTACGAGCACCAGTGCAATCAGAGGAAACCCCTCCATCGTAGCCCCAGACCGTATCTGCCTGGGACTCAGTCTATTTCCCCCCAAAATTCTTCCTTTGTGAACAGAGCTGTTTGTGAAACGAAGGCAAACTCTCACTCTGCTGCACGGTCACAGCCTCCCCAAGGCACCTGGGAGGCTCCAGTGAAAGTGGAAAGGCCCCAGAGACAATGGGTAACAATTCTGCCACATTAAGTGAAGGCCAAAACACGCAGCCAAACGGAAAGGGGAAACAATTAAGAAAAAACCAAGGTTTGGCATTCCCTTTTTCTCAAATTCCTTTGAGAATTCTTTTTGCTACATTCTACAGCACGCACAAATTGAGATGAACCAGAGCTGAAATTCCCTACGGAAAATAAACAGTAGGTAACTAATCCAAGCAGCCTGAAATAGACTGGAGATAAAACCGCAGAGCAGCCAGAACTCTTACCTCTCCCCAGCCCTTGGCAGATGTCACTCGTCTCAGAGCAAGATTAATCGATCCACCTCCGTTCCCGTTTTGGGTGGAAAGGTTACCAGACAGAATTGCTGTGTCCGTGGCAGTCAGTGGTGCCTGAAAGAGGAATATGTTGTTACCAATTACTCTCATCCCGATTCACACATTTAATGCATGTTCTGCAAGGACACAATGGGGGCAGGGGTCCCGTTTGGGGTGGCCCCACGCTGCCTGCCTTGCTGGCTCGGGCCCCCACGCCCCCCTCACCTCGATGGACTGGGAGATGTGCATCTTGTTTATCTCAATCTGGGGAAAGCTGCTCCCGGGCACATCTTCGTATTCTTCGTCGTAGCGATCAAAGAGGTCAGTGGCATCTATTCCAACACTAATTGTTCCCTAGGGAATGAGGAGTGCAAGGAATACTCAGCATTAACGACCACCCAACAATTCCAGGCCAAATGGCTAATCCATCCTCCTGTATCTGTACAGATTTTGGCAGTTCCTTCTTTTTCTGCCATTATCTTTTCCACCCTAAAATGCATTTCTTGCACGTTCAAGACAAAATAAAAAGAACGATTACAATATCCTAAAAGAGCAACACAAATCATAAACTAAACTGGATAAAAGACAGTTTTTCAGCAGGAATGCAACTTGTCATACCAGGAGGCAATTCTCCTGTTGCGACGCAGGACAGAAGTAGGTAGAACACACTTACACAGCAGGTTTCTTCTTCCCCCACAACTGACTGCTGTCAGTATTTAGAAGTTTTAATAACATATTTTAGAAATCGATTTTCTTCAGTGGAACTTAGCCAGAAATCCTCTAAATGTTTTCTTCTGAGTTTGTTTACTTTTTCTTAGTCTCTATCTTGTCATCAGAAGAAAAGCTTGACAAAGACAGGCAATATTTACCACTTGCTACAAGTCTTTCTCAGACCATAGAAAAGCTTATTCCTACAAAAAAAGTAGGCCACAGCTAAATAGTCTGGCTACCTGCTGCTGTGCTCACTCAGACGAACTGCAAGAGTGGGTTTATTTGGAAAGGGCACAATTAGATCTGTGTCTGGGTCATATAACTTCAAGAGGCTTTGGAAACTTCCCCTCTAGACCTATTAAAGCCATTCCAGCTCACACCAAATGCACCAGTTGCAATATAAAAAAAACAACCTTCCTCTGTGCACCAGCAGAGAATGAACTCTGAGCAGTTTGTATAAAGAAACTCAAGAGCTGGGTTGGTATAAAAAGCACTCAGAGTCCAAGCACAGAGGGAATAATTTCTTATTTCGATCCAAGTGAGCACTTTCCCTTGCTCACCCCAGTCTCATCAAACGCTGAGCCATAAATACAGGAAGAATTGCAGAGTTTGACAGGACTCAAAACTTCTCTCTGCTTTGGCTCCCAACCATTTATTTGCTGGGGAGACTCCTGACCTCTTCTCAATGTTGATTTTCTGATTTGTTACACAGCAAAAATTGCATAAATATTTGAACAGGGGAAGGTGTGATTATTTTCAGGAGCACTCTGGGCCAGGGGCTGTGTCCCAGCTCTTTACAAACGACCCAAAGCTGTGTTTGTGGCAGCCCTGAGGATGAACTCCTGCCCTTTATGCAGGCGGCTACTTTTCAGGAACCATCTGCAAAGTCACCTTCAAGGGACGTGCTCTCCAGACCCGGCAGCTTCTTCCGTTTCAGTCCTCTCCTAATTGTGCTCCTCCTTGAAACGAGGCCAAAACGAGAGTGAAAGGAGGCAAAAACCTCCCACTGCCCTGCAGCCCTCGGCTGAGACACGGAGTAGAACAGCCAAAGAGAAACAGAAAGTGCCAACTCCACTCTATGGAATTCCAGGGTAGACAATAAAATTTGTCTAAATACAGGTGAATGTTTTTTTTTTTTTTTTTAACAAAAGAGAAAACTATTTCAATTTTTCCCTGATGCTCTTCAATCCAAGGAAACGTAAAACCCAAGATCCTTCATAACAGAGAGAGGATGGCCAGGAAGGTTTTCCACGTGGAGCACCACATTCAGCGCAGGATCTTTGCCAGACTGCAATTTTAAATTCCAAGTTAAACATTTTTAAAGAAGGGACGCCATGGTGAGTAATAAGCGTGATGAACTTGCACGGCAAAAAGACAGAAAATGGTGTTTTCCACTCAGACCGGAATATAAGTGGCAGTAAAGCTTTTTCAAGAACTTGCACTAACAAACCACGCTGAAAACCAACTTATTGTACTGGGGTCACACCGCAACGTCCGTACTCTTTGTAAAGATGCAACAAGGTCTGCACATATTCCTCAAATTCATTGTACTCCTTTCTTTTAATTGTAGTCAAACTCAAAATTTCCTTTCTCACACCTGTGAATTTGAGAACAAATATCCCTCCCAGTGAAAAAAGGAAACCACCTGAACCTATCCATGAAAATCCACCAGATTCATTGATAGGAAAGGAGTGTCTCCATCCCTCTCCTCAGCAGATCCTTGGCCTCTCACTGAAGGGAGTGGTGGCTCCACACGTCTCACCTCCCACCAAGCAGCTGAAGTCACCCTCTGGGGTCTATAGATCCTGGCAGGGAAACTGCCTCCGGCACGAGCACAGGAAAAGCAGCAGATGGGAAAGTTAAAAATATTCCTGGAGAAGGACAGCACCCCCTGTGCCACCGGATAATAGCGGGGGGACCACTGCTGCCCCCCACGCCCCATCACCCTCCTGAGTCGACTCTCAGAAAGGAAAAATCCCTCCCCAAAGAGCAAGGAGCAGGGAAAAGCTCTGGAGCCATCGGTGCCCGCGCGCCCCATGCTGCAACGCGCAGCGGCTCGGCAGGGAACGGCGCTGCAGAACCAGCAGAGCTTGTTATCTGCTGTCACCTTTTAAAGTCACCTTGATTTGCCATCCTGCCAATACAAAACACTGATGGAACTCAGAGGTGTGCCAGAGAAGAATATCACAGAATCACAGAATCTTCTAGGTTGGAAGGGACCTTAAAGATCATCTTGTCCAACCGTCAAACTAACTTTGACAAAAATAGACACCCACACAACAAACAAGGAGCAACACCATCACTAAGCCCTATCTCCCAGCACTACATCAACCCCTCTTTTGAACCCCTCCAGGGATGGGGCCTCAACCCCCTCCCTGGGCAGCCCATTCCAATGGCTGAGAACCCTTTCCGTGAAAACATTTTTCCCAATATCCAGCCTGAACCTCCCCTGGTGTAACTTGAGGCCATTTCCTCTTGTCCTGTCGCCTGTGACTTGGGAGAAGAGACCGACCCCCACCTCTCTACACCCTCCTTTCAGGGAGTTGGAGAGAGCAATGAGGTCTCCCCTCAGCCTCCTCTTCTCCAGGCTGAATAACCCCAGCTCCCTCAGCCTCTCCTCATCAGACTTATTCTCCAGACCCCTCACCAGCTTTGTTGCCCTTCTCTGGACCCGCTCCAGCACCTCCCTCCTCCCCTTTTTTTTTTTTTTTTTTCCTAGGGATTTACCTTCTGGAAGGTGACATATGGAAGCTGTGCAAGACTAAGCCTTGAGGGACCCGCATTTATTAGATGTTGACCTTCCACAGCAGGAAAATAACAGGATTTAATTTCTCCTAACAGGAAGTGGTTCTTCTCCAATCAAGTGATGAACTTTTCAACCCTCCTGCATGCCTTTGAAAGCAAAAACAAAGCTCTAAAAGCAAATAATAGACTCGATTCGAAACCTGCCAAATTGCCTACATCTGGTTATTGCTCGACATTTCTGGTTAAAATGCTTTATTTTGCTGGAACTGTTTTATAGAACTGACAAAATGTTGGAAATTTTAAAATAACTTGTGTTCGTGTATGAAATGATCACAGCTGTGCTACCTAATTCTGCAGGAACACTGCCTGGAGAGCCATTTCTATAGGCTGCCAGTCAGCAATTGCTGCAAACACCCAGATGGCTAATTTTATCGCAGGACACAGCGGCTGAGGCTCTCAGTGCAGCTCTGCTTTTTACTGCTCCCAGCCACGGCGAGGCACCCGGAGAAAATGTCAAATTCCTGAAGTCACGGAGAAGCAGGAGGTGTAGAAAACCATTCCCCTTGCCCAGAACTCCCTTCTGACCCCAGTCACCTCATCTCCAGCACTGACAGTTTGACTTCCCTGTCCCGTGGCATCCAGAGATCCCTTCCTGCCTGGAATAATGTTGCCAGGAGATATTCCTGCTTCTTTACCCTTCCATCACAAACAAGTCCTGAGTATCTGTGCTCTACCACAACAGCCAGTGATGTGATACAGGTAAACTAAAGTACGAATATATTTGGTGAGAGTAGATGCAGCTCTTGAATAATGCATAGGGAAGAGTGTAGCCAGCAGGTCAAGGGAAATCATTCTCCCCCTCTACTCTGCACTGGGGAGGCCACAACTGGAATCCTGTGTCCAGTTCTGGGCTCCCCAGTTCAAGAGAGACAGGGAACTGCTGGAGAGAGTCCAGCGAAGGGCAACAAAGATGATTCAAGGATTGGAGCATCTCCCTTATGAGGAGAGACTGAGAGAGCTGGGACTCTTTAGTCTGGAGAAGAGAAGGCTGAGGGGAGACCTTATCAATGCTGACAAGTATCTCAAGGGTGGGTTGAAGGAGGAGGGAGCCAGACTCTTCTCAGTGGTTCCCAGTGAGAGGACGAGGGGCAACGGGCACAAGTTGGAACATAAGAGGTTCCACTCAAATATGAGGAGAAACTTCTTCACGGTGAGGGTGCCAGAGCCCTGGAACAGGCTGCCCAGGGAGGGTGTGGAGTCCCCTTCTCTGGAGATTTTCAAGCCCCACCTGGATGCTCCTGAGTAACATGCTCTAGCTCTAGGCAATCCTGCTTCAGCAGGGGAGTTGGACTAGATGATCTCTATGGTCCCTTCCAACTCTAAAATTCAGTGAAAATTCAGTGAAATGTTATTCACTGCAAGAGAACCAAGATTTTTGTGACCCATCAAGCCCTGGAACCTCATTCAGTGAGAATCCTGACACTGGGTTTGCCTGGGGCACTTACCAAGCTGAGAGCCATCAAGGCCATTAGCATTCTCAGCTCTCAGAGCATTCATCATTCCCACCTCTCTCTGCCATCCCGGCACTACCAGGAGAACATCATCCCCAGCACGGTGTTCTTGGTCACCTCTGAAGAGCTGAGACTGCTCAAACAGCCTGAGAGATGGGAAGGGAACGCTCCATGATCCTCCTCCTGAGCGTGTGATGGAGCTTTCCTAGAGCAAGCACTAACTGTGGACCTGGCAAGACCCCAGTCCTGTTCCAGAGGGTTTTGCTGACTGTGCTGCAGCCCAGGAGCTCTGCTGCCCAGCTGCTTCAGCAGCTGCCTCACGTTTTCAGTGCTTTCAGAGCTTCATTTGAATATCTCCCCCCATTGCCGTGACACCACAGCAGTGCCAAAGGGAAAACCTGTCAGGTAAGTGCAGGGAGTTTCATTTTATTTGGAATACTTGGAAAGAAATCGGAAACATTTCAGTGTTAGGGCTGTTTTCATGTAATCGCTGAAAGAGATATGCTTATATATGTTTGAACAGAAAAAAGAACTTTCAACAGAGGATTACTGTTCAAAGAATTAGCTGTTTTCCCTACATTGTCCAGACAAACTGCATATTCAAAAAAGAAGTAATTCTCTAAGGGTAGATACCTATGGGGGTATTTACCACAGCTCCTCATCACACCTTGCATATTGGTAATAACTTACAGATTCACTCCTGAGCCTGGGGTGAAGCCTCTCACCTTTGGATTAGTTCGCTGCTGCAGTCTTCTCTCTTCCCTCTCTCTCTGCAAACGCTCAAATTCTTCCCTGATTTCAGCTGGAGTTCTCTTCCTCTCCACAACCTGCTCCAAGAGAAATGAAAAGCTGAGGATTACCAGGAAGGAGGATGCTGGGGGTACTGCCCTGTTGATGGATGGAGACCTGCTGCCCTGGCACACTCTGACACTGCCTGCTGCTGCTCTAAGCTGCTCTGCCCGGGTTTCAGTACTCGGAGTTTGGGAGCAAACACCTGGGCCAGACCAAATAGAAGGCACCAGAGAAACCCCATGAGAAGAGAAAACAGTCTTATTATTTCTATTGCCTAGACAAAACCAGGGCAAGGAGCTCTCAGCCCACAAGCACAAGATCCTGCAGCAACAGCTGTCCATTAACTTCTCTGCTGGGTGTAGACACAAAAATGAAAATGACTGAAAGTGCCTGCCCTGAGATAAAGTGATCAAGTGATTTTAGGCTATGCTGACTCCCATCTGTTTACCTTACCCAGGGACTGAGGGCTTTAAACAGGTTGGGATGGATGGAAAGAGTATTGGATTGGGCTTTTCAAAACAAGAACCAATTCTGCCACAAGCAGCTCCCAAATATCTGTTACGTTCTGCTATTGCTCCACGTTTCCTGCTACTAACTCTAAATGTGACCCTGGCAATGACTGGACCCAACACAACCTGATTCTGCAGGAAACAGTAAATTCAATCAAATAAGACCAGCAGAGGCTGGGAAGGAGGCTTAGCGACACGAAAGCCAGGAATGGCCAAGTTCTCTTTGAAAGCCCATCAAAACTGAACAAACAAACAAAAAAACCAACCCCAAAAAGCAGAGAAAGGAAAAGTAATTTCAAACTCAGAGGCTAGTTGATGTCGAAAAAAAAGTTTGAGATGAAAAAGATGAGACTAGATGGACAATAACGACGCATTTGTCTCAGACAAAGCTGTTGCCTGTCACGGTAATATCCTATTAGGGAACTCTGAATGTCAGCTTTATTGTTCTCTTGTCAAGTAAAAAACCCAAGTATTCTTTGAAAATCCATCACGGTGTTTCAGCAGGGACAGAGAGAGACAGAGATAACTAAACAAGGATGCCTTCAAACAAACAAACAGGCATTTATTACCATCAAGGTGTCAGTGCCGCTCGATACGAGCAGAATGTCAGATAAATGGGGTTTAGTCAATTCCACTGGCCATAAGATGTGAAATGTCTCTCACCTCCCATCCTTCCATCTCCAGTCCTCTCCTCCCATAGATGTCATAGATGGCTCTGGTCTGAGGATCACTAAGCACTGCAAGTCAAAACCAAGAGAGAGGAGAGAACTCAGTTTTTGGTCTTCTCTTGGAATTTCAGACCGACACACTAGTGTTTTTTGGAATTCAAGCACAGATCCTGGAAATACGTTGTTCTACAGTTGTATCCGATTTTTACATTAACTCCCTTTAACCTTCTCACGTGCTGCCTTTCTGTTTTTCAGTCTTTAGTCCCTAATGGGAGAGTTTTTTCAGAAGTAAGGGCAGTGGTGAAAAGATTATTTACAGCAGGCAGGAAATAAGACAGAGACTCCACATCTTGCTCATTGCAGAATTTATGCTGCATTGCTCCTCTGATTTACAGGACAGAAAGGAAAGAAAGCATCACCGAGTATGAGCAAATGTAATTATTACTTCGTAATAATATATATATATCTGCCTCAAAAAGCAAGAAGACACAGCCCTCCCCCTAGAAAAGCCCTGAAAACAGTTTCTGCAAACTTTTAAACTCCCACTGACCCTCGTAAGCCTGGTGAACGAGGTTGAAGAGCCGCTCAGCCTGTGTTTTGAGCTCTGGGTCTCTGTGCTTGTCCGGGTGGTAGAGCATGCACAGCCGGCGGTAGGCAGCCTTCAGCTCTTCCTGAGAGGCCTGAGGGAAGCAGGAAAAGTGACTTAAAGTACAACCAGAGCTGGTTAAAAAAGAGCATTCCCAAGATCGGCCCTGAAGGAGCAGTCCCTCAGCTGTCACGTTGCATCACTTCTTCTTACGCAAAATGAAGAATGGATTTTTGTTTCATTACAGAGGTTAATGACGTGCTCAATTACGCACAGCAGTATTATCCACACCATTCACAGTGCCACAAGCAACAGCTCATCAGTGTAGACTTGGGTATAACAAGTGAGAAACCACACAAAATACAAACCCACCAATCTGTGTTTGTCCATTACTTTTGTTAGGAAAATACTGTCTTCTCAACTCAACACGGAGGAGCAAGGAAAAATAAAGTCATCTCAGGACAAAACCCATTTAAATCCATCAAATTCCACTCCTATTTCAGTCTTAAACCCTCAAGTAAATACTATAACTGTCAAAAAGCACTGACTTTTCCCAGCAGTAAAGGTAAGTAATGCAAAGCTGCTGTTTCATGTTCATCCCTCACTGCTGCTCCCCGGGAAGCCACGGGAAGGGACAGTCCATCATCTGCTGGAGATGGACAACCAGGAGGACAGTGTGTCTCTAAATGCATCAAGGGAAAAAAAAAAAGCCCTCTTCTTTACCCCGGAATTTTAGACCACACCTGGCCTCATTCCACAAACACGTGGTGGAAACAGATTTGGGAATTAGAATCAATGGAATAAACCTCCCCACTCCTTCCACGTCACCTCCCAGGACACAACCTCTCAGCAATATTATTTTTCAGCTCTGGTGAGCCTTGGTAACTTCTCCTTTCTCACCTCACTCCTGCAGCAGTCCTTACATGGCAGCAGTTCCCCGGAGCCTGGCTAACTCCTAATTACAGGTGCAGTTCCCAAAACGAGCCAGAACTTCCCCAAAAGGCAGTGGCACAGAGCACTCACTGGCCAGCTACAGAATTCCTGGCAAAAATCAGTGTCCAGGGAGCAGGATGCCACCTCTCTGCACCGGGAGAAATATGCAGAGTAAAATAAAGGCAACATTTTGGGAACCTGCTGCCTCCTTCGAGCAAACGTCGGCCCTTTTGTCACCCGGGGGGTTACAACACACAGGAGTTCCCAAGCTTTCACCATGGAGAAAAAGGCCCTAAAAGTTTAAAAAACCCAAGTATTCTTTGAAAATCCATCACGGTGTTTCAGCAAGGACAGAGAGAGACAGAGATAACTAAACAAGGATGCCTTCAAACAAACAAACAGGCATTTATTACCATCAAGGTGTCAGTGCCGCTCGATACGAGCAGAATGTCAGATAAATGGGGTTTAGTCAATTCCACTGGCCATAAGATGTGAAATGTCTCTCACCTCCCATCCTTCCATCTCCAGTCCTCTCCTCCCATAGATGTCATAGATGGCTCTGGTCTGAGGATCACTAAGCACTGCAAGTCAAAACCAAGAGAGAGGAGAGAATTCAGTTTTTGGTCTTCTCTTGGAATTTCAGACCGACACACTAGTGTTCTTTGGAATTCAAGCACAGATCCTGGAAATATGTTGTTCTACAGTTGTATCCAATTTTTACATTAACTCCCTTTAACCTTCTCACGTGCTGCCTTTCTGTTTTTCAGTCTTTAGTCCCTAATGGGAGAGTCTTTTCGGAAGTAAAGACTTCCGAAAAAAAGTGAAAAAATTATTTACAGCAGGCAGGAAATAAGACAGAGACTCCACATCTTGCTCATTGCAGAATTTATGCTGCATTGCTCCTCTGATTTACAGGACAGAAAGGAAAGAAAGCATCACCGAGTATGAGCAAATGTAATTATTACTTCGTAATAATATATATATATCTGCCTCAAAAAGCAAGAAGACACAGCCCTGAGACTCCACATCTTGCTCATTGCAGAATTTATGCTGCATTGCTCCTCTGATTTACAGGACAGAAAGGAAAGAAAGCATCACTAAGTAGGAGCAAATGTAATTATTACTTCATAATAATATATATATCTCTGCCTCAAAAAGCAAGAAGACACAGCCCTCCCCCTAGAAAAGCCCTGAAAACAGTTTCTGCAAACTTTTAAACTCCCACTGACCCTCGTAAGCCTGGTGAACGAGGTTGAAGAGCCGCTCAGCCTGTGTTTTGAGCTCTGGGTCTCTGTGCTTGTCCGGGTGGTAGAGCATGCACAGCCGGCGGTAGGCAGCCTTCAGCTCTTCCTGAGAGGCCTGAGGGAAGCAGGAGAAGTGACTTAAAGTACAACCAGAGCTGGTTAAAAAAGAGCATTCCCAAGATCGGCCCTGAAGGAGCAGTCCCTCAGCTGTCACGTTGCATCACTTCTTCTTACGCAAAATGAAGAATGGATTTTTGTTTCATTACAGAGGTTAATGACGTGCTCAATTACGCACAGCAGTATTAGCCACACCATTCACAGTGCCACAAGCAACAGCTCATCAGTGTAGACTTGGGTATAACAAGTGAGAAACCACACAAAATACAAACCCACCAATCTGTGTTTGTCCATTACTTTTGTTAGGAAAATACTGTCTTCTCAACTCAACACGGAGGAGCAAGGAAAAATAAAGTCATCTCAGGACAAAACCCATTTAAATCCATCAAATTCCACTCCTATTTCAGTCTTAAACCCTCAAGTAAATACTATAACTGTCAAAAAGCACTGACTTTTCCCAGCAGTAAAGGTAAGTAATGCAAAGCTGCTGTTTCATGTTCATCCCTCGCTGCTGCTCCCCGGGAAGCCACGGGAAGGGACAGTCCATCATCTGCTGGAGATGGACAACCAGGAGGACAGTGTGTCTCTAAATGCATCAAGGGAAAAAAAAAAAGCCCTCTTCTTTACCCCGGAATTTTAGACCACACCTGGCCTCATTCCACAAACACGTGGTGGAAACAGATTTGGGAATTAGAATCAATGGAATAAACCTCCCCACTCCTTCCACGTCACCTCCCAGGACACAACCTCTCAGCAATATTATTTTTCAGCTCTGGTGAGCCTTGGTAACTTCTCCTTTCTCACCTCACTCCTGCAGCAGTCCTTACATGGCAGCAGTTCCCCGGAGCCTGGCTAACTCCTAATTACATGTGCAGTTCCCAAAACGAGCCAGAACTTCCCCAAAAGGCAGTGGCACAGAGCACTCACTGGCCAGCTACAAAACTCCTGGCAAAAATCAGTGTATGGGGAGCGGGGAGCAGGATGCCACCTCTCTGCACCAGGAGAAATATGCAGAGTAAAATAAAGGCACCAACATTTTGGGAACCTGCTGCCTCCTTCGAGCAAACGTCGGCCCTTTTGTCACCCGGGGGGTTACAATGCACAGGAGTTCCCAAGCTTTCACCATGGAGAAAAAGGCCCTAAAAGTTTGTTTCTTAAAGTAACATCTTTTCCCAGCCCATCGTAAGGAATCTGGGTTTTCACTGAAGAAGCACGTTCGTGTACCAAAGCAAGAAAATGGTTCCATTTTGACGATAGATGAGAATAAATGTTTTCTCTGCCCATTTGTGCCATTTCATGTAACGTTTCTAAATGATGTAGCAAAAGGGGACCTGCCAAATTTGCTGGCCCCAAGAGAGTAAAGGCAGCTCCTCATTAGCTCATTTCTTTTTACTGCTTTGTGCTTTCTCGGACATTGAATTTAGACTCGACTGAGAAGGCAGGGGAACGTATAGGTCTAAAATGGCATTCTTTAATCAAATTAATGATAAATGGTTTAATGTGCTATTGATTATATAATAGAAATGAGCAGTTCTATTTTTCATAAATGCCACGTTCAATAAAACATTAGATTGGGCCTTTCATCATCATCAAATAGCCCGGGTCATTGGTTCAATATTTCATGAGCAATACCCTCTTAGAAACCGCTAAAGAAATACTGAGATCATTTCAAGTTGCAATGTAATACATAAGTCAGTGATAATCGTATGTAAGTTACATTTTTATTACCAAAATTTCAGACAAAATTAAACGGCATCCCATCTCCCTACTTGGGCTTTAAACGGCTTCGTTTAACGTCTCAAACATGCCACCACATTTTTAGTGGATTGGAGTCTAGGAAAGATGAAACATCTATGTTTAATCACACAGGAGAGCGATGGCTCAGCAGCGACTGCTCTCCAGGCTGCCAGTTCAGTGGTTAACTATTATTTTTAACTCAGCTGCCACCTCACACTGGCTCAGCACACAGAAATGAGAGTGCACGACATTCCTCTGCTACGCAGGATAGTACTACTGAATTTAATTAGCAAGGGGTAATTAACAAAGCAGCTACTACTCTCAGTTGGAATCACTCCCTCACAGACCATTCTAACTCGGTTCCCAGCTCCCTGCTGCACCAAACCTGAATTTTCTGGTCTCCAGTGAAGTGCAGAAAGCCCAGCTCAGTTAACTATTAACCCTTTGCTGTTAATTGCCCTGCCAGCTGCAGCCCCCGCATGGTTCCTGCCCCTCTCTCTCTCTCTTAACCTCCACATCCTCATGCTGCTGGCGCCCAGGGGGGCGAGTTACTCAGGCTCAGATCTAAGGGCATGGCCCGTCGGCGTTTAACGAGACTCAGGATTGAGGGGCACAGAAATTTTTCCAAAAAGGGCACACTCTACTGCATGGCAGGAAGGCCAATGGAATCCAGGAAGGCCAATGGAATCCTGGAAGGCCAATGGAATCCTGGGCTGCAGAGGAGCACACTCTACTGCGTGGCAGGAAGGCAACGGAATCCAGGAAGGCCAATGGAATCCTGGGCTGAGTAGGGAAGAGTGTGGCCAGTAGGTCGAGGGAGGTCATTCTCCCCCTCTGCTCTGCACTGGGGAGGCCACAACTGGAATCCTGCATCCAGTTCTGGGCTCCCCAGTTCAGGAGGGACAGGGAAATACTGGAGAAAGTCCAATGAAGGGCAACGAAGATGATTCAAGGATTGGAGCATCTCCCTGATGAAGAAAGGCTGAGAGAGCTGGGACTCTTTAGTCTGGAGAAGAGAAGGCTGAGGGGAGACCTTATCAATGCTGACAAGTATCTCAAG